ATATATATATATTTGTTGGCCTCTTTTCAAAGACTAAAGTTGACTAACTTAATACAAGCTTAAGCCAATTAACTTGTTTAGAGATAATTTATCCAAAAAAAAAAAAAAAACTTTAGAGGTAGGTTCTTGTGCTCATCTAAAAAGTTGTTATAAACAATTTTTTACGTCAGGCCATTAAGGGTAAATAAAAAAAAAACAAGAAAAGAGATTGAATTATGCTTTCGAATATTTTTTATTAGTTACAAAAAAAGTGCATACTTAAGTGTTAAAACAGTAGGGTTTAAAAGTCATTTTAAACTACTTTGACCTACTAAATTTCAAATCACATTGGATGATTCATTATTTATCCAATGATTATCCAATTTAAAATATAGAGAACTAGATGGAGTAATAGAATCCTTTTCAACACGACATGACGACACCACCCAACCTTAGTTTTGCAAAACATAATTTAGGGCGCCACCCAACAGAAGTGGCTCGTTTGAAAAGCATGTCCTTTTAAACTCACCAATGAATTTGCACAACTATTGATCTGGACATGGTGCAAGTAAAATATCTCATGCACACGTTCTATGGAATAAAAATTATCCTTGCAGATGACAAGAAAAACAACTCATGCACGTCAGAAGATAACTAAACACCGCATGCATCATGAATGAGGCAATTTTGTGTATATTGCATGTCTCAGACAATCCCTATCATCACCGTGAAATTTCAATGAACAAAAGCATCCTATAAAAGCACAAGAAACATCGTCATACACCTATAGGGAAGGGAAAGGAAAGACGAATCACACAATCTATCAGACGCTATGCCAAAGGGATATTGTCATTAGTACTTTAATTTTGGCCACGCCTTCCTGGAGGGTTCTTTAATTTTAGTACTCCTGGCACTGAAACACGCCTTACCCCCCCTTGTGTGCGAGAAGAACCAATATCATCTCTAGCTTCAGATATTGTTCCCGCAGGATGATTATGCTCCAAAGAAGGAAGCGCCAGAACTCCCTGCCTTGACTGCTCAGCTTGTCCATTATTATGGCTAGCTTCTAAAATAACAAAGAGCACAAACTAAGATTAGATGACAAAAACATTATGGCTGTTGCTGCTTTGAAGGAAAAAATATTCCCTCAACAGTATATAGAGATCACATCATATTACAACCAGTGATTATTACTGTCTATTACAACGTCATAGTATTATTTGACTGATGCTCCCAATGAAATGTGATATTTGGTTTGCATCTTTTCTAATTTATGTAGAAACATGATGGCCACGAGACGGTAAATTTGCAAATATAATTGATAAACGAAAATATGTCAACATTAAGAAGCATACCCACAACAGATGCACATTGTTTCATCAATCATACTATAGCATTTAAAATACAATTAACCATACTAACAATGAATCCATCCTCTCCATACCACTGGATGCACTGTGCATCTCTGCCATTGAAACCTTTAATTCTCACCAATAAAGAACACAAGCCAAGAATATGATCATAATCATAATTGTTTTAGTTTTCTATGCAATACTAAGATAGCAAACTCACATGTACAGTACAAAGCACATACGTATGTGAAAGCCATTTCTCTTCACACGTACTAGAAGTGGGCATATGTTGTACATTCATGTTAAAAATTATTTCAAAAATTGTTTGAAAGAATGTGGAAGTTGACACAAATGAAAGTGAGAATGAAGAAAAAAAGACTGGAAATGGAAATACACAAAGAGTGGTGCTAAAGAAGTGCTCATGAATAAGCTGACCTCGTAGTTTTGAAAAATAGCAGAACAGTGTGTCATTTAATTTGCACTGATTTTCGTCAAAAAAAAATATAAAAAAAAAAACTTGTGGTATCCAGGATTTTTGCATCATAGTTATCAATCCGGATAGTGGCAAGAGTGGAATTGACCCTAAAAACTATAGTGGGATAGTGGAAAGCAGGATGACAACTATTCTGAATTTTATTTTTTATTGCATAAATAATTAAATAGCTGTTTTTTTTTCCAAGAAAACAGAGCAAAGAAAAATTTAACAAAAAACACTAGAAACCAAAAAGAACAGGGGAAACAATTGAATATGAATTTAAAAACAACAAGACACAGAAAAACGGGGACAAGAAAGTGGTTCTGAACGTACTGGACAGTAGGCAGGAAAACAGCAACAGGGAGAAAACAAAGAAACATGGATTGGGTCACAGAGGTGCCAGCTAGAAAATGCAGGTGAGAAGCCTGGGTCACACACTCAGGAGGCAGAGAATCCCACAAAGACATTGCCAGTTTATTTCATATACAACAAAAATTCTACAGTTCCTTTTTATGAAAACTCATGCAAATACCTAAAACAACCGCACGCAACAGGCTGCCATGGCTGGGAACTAAATAGTGATGTTACAGTGTGCGAACAGCAGCCATTCGCATCTGTGTTGTATAGCACACTATTGATAACCTAATTCTTTACTAAATTATTTTTTGTTTTATTTTCTTGAATTTTAATTATTCAACTAAACTAGCACTTATAATCCAGTAATATACCTTTTGGTACAGATATGTAAACATAAAACTATCAATATTCTCAAATAAATTGCAGAGATATTTTCTAGAGAATAGATATTAATCATCCACATCCCCAAGTAGCAGAAAGGATAATTACTCACCAATGCTTCCAGCCCATCCAGGCAAGTGCCTTTGACCTTTTCCTTTCCATTCTTCTTCAAAGCCAGCAAGTTCATCTACAAAATCACAACCCAAAACCTTCAACAATGCTGAAATAAAAGGATATGGAACTGTGAAAGTGGATATCAGATCAATGGTTATCAATCCAGGATAGTGGTTCAAAACCACTAGCAGAATAACAGATAGTAGGATGACCACAATTACGAAATTTCTCCATATAAAATAAATAATTTACATTACATACCTCAAAAATAAGAAAATTACTCACAATTAAAGGCATATTCATAATTAATATTTAAGAGTTATAGTTTTAGCAAAACACAAGTTAATAACAATAAGGGTCAGATAAAATAAAAGGAAAAGAAGGTACAGCAAGAAGGTAACATAAGGTTTACCTATTTGAACACACTGCTGAAAGAAAGAGAAAACAGAACAAAGACATTAAACTTATAAAACAAAACATAAACCCCTCATCAAACCCCAAAGGATGTGAACAGAACAGTGTTCCTGGGTTCCACAGAATGTGGGTTGGCCAGAAATGCAACTGAAAGCCCTGGGACAGATAGGTTGCTTTAAAGAGAGAACGACCAGTAAGGATATTGCAATAGTTAGCCTTTGAAAGGAAGGGAGATGGAAAATAGGGTTCATGTCTTAATGAAAAGGGGGAGGAAATCCTAACATTTACCCATGCACCGCCACCCCAAAAGCAACAACCGACATTGTTCAGGTGGCCAAAATAGGGGCTATTGCCTTTGAAACAATAGTGGTCGTGATAGCATCAAGGGTTCATGACACTCTAGGTGTGACAATGAGCTGTGACGCACCTGGCTTCCATGGAGCAGCCCATAGCCACAACAACCATGGTAGTTGAATCAGGATTCAAATTGGGAATCAGAAGATCTATTTTCCAAATTGCAAATCAAACTGTATCATGAATTGTAAGATTTGTGATCAATAATAAAACATAATATATACAACAAACAAAGACATAAAAGGACAAATTCATAATCGATAACTAAAAAACATATCTCCAGGAGCAGTTTAACATAAAGAAACATACCAAATATCAAAACACACATAAAAGGACAAGTTCATAATCAATAGCTAAAAGACATTACTCTACGAGCAGTTTAACATAAAGAAACAAACCAAAAATCAAAACACGCACACATATTAGCATTTTGAAGTTGAGTAGCTAACAAAGTGACATATAAACTTCAAAACAAACAAAGATCCAAATCATAACAACCACAAGGCCAAAAAGACATTGGTTGCTGCTAAACAAGTTGCACACATCAAGAATATACATAACAGGGCAGGGGATCACCAACCAGCAGCAGAAAAACACACTAAGCCACCAAAAGGAGAGATACCACCATGCTTGCATGTGTAATGGAATAACGAGCAAAAGACGACACAATAAAATACAAAGAAAAGAAGAGGAGAGTGGGTCACTCTTTTATCGGGAGGAACAAAGAACGGGTGAAGAAATGAAAGGAGACAACGAGTGAAAACATGAAAGAAAAAAAAAAGTGGGCCACCTTAGGTCAGATTGGAGGGGAAAAACTGGCCTTTCCTCCATCATTTTACGTAATTTTGTTTAAAAAACAAAGAAGCATTTATAGGGATTTCTCAGAACTGGGAAGAGCATGACCTGAATCAAACAATTTATGAGTGAGATGTGAATCATGTGATTCATGCAATTCATGTATGATTCAAATGATTTATCTATGGTTCAAGTACAAAAATGATTTGAAGCACGATTTGTATCAACAAAGTCATGGAACTAATCATATTGTGAATCGTACAATATTGATAACAATGGCCACAAACCTCAGTAACACCACTATAGTGTCACTTTAACAGTATAACGCACCATTGACTACTATGGACATATCACACCATAAGAACCATGATCAGATTCATGACATACCTTCATTTATATTGTGCAAAGTCTGCATAGTATCCACATTGCCATCTGACTTCAGTTTTCTTGACAGGGAATGGCCCTATAAAATATAAAATATCATATACAAATAAAAGTATAAAACAATAAAAATGAGTAAAAAAACCTGATAGAAGTTAAACCATTAAAAATTTGACAGCAAAAGTTATTCCTAAACCAAAACAACTGAATCTAAAGCAACTTTAGAGAACCGTGTATGAATACCTTGCCATGAATGCCTCTAGAAATTATGTGAGAAGCTTCCCTTGTTGAACTACCAGCCTCCTTGCTTTCTTCAAAGGTTACCTAACACAACAAAGATGGCATCAGAAGAATAACATTCTGCGAATCTTGGATTCAGTCTAGCTTTTAATCAATAATCCAAATGCTTACTCCATCACTACCACTCCTCCTTGTCCTCGAGGAAGTATAATATGTTCCATTTGGACCACCATAGCTGACTGTTGAGCTCTGGAAGCAGAAGCTGTGAGATCTAGGTTGAGCCGCAGTGGAATAGCTGTGAGGTTGAGGCTGAGACACGGTTGTATCAGATCTGTTGTACTCATTTCCAGCCTGCAAATGTTTGCTCTTCTTCCCTGCAAGATGAACCCAAAAAGAAAATAAATCAGCCTAAGCAAAATCAAGCTAGCCCTATTTTGGGAGATAGAGCAAAAGCACCTATTGCTTAAGGAAAAACACACATAACGCCTTACCTTCACTTTCATCATCTGGATGTTCAATGAAGGGTTCATCGTTTGACCTTCGATGCTTTCTAGGATTTTCTTTCTTCTCCTCTGTTGTGTCCTCATTTTCATCATCAGAGTCCAACTCCTGAATGATTGGTCCCCTTCGCCTACTAGGCTCCGGAGCTTGACGCTCAAGGAACCCAGATGGATGCATACCCGGAGGTGGATGCTCAAGGAACCTAGATGGATGCATACCGGGAGGGAAAGAAAATCCAGTAGGACGACTAAAAAAACCTGACTCAAACATCCCTCCAAAAGGTCGGGTGAAGAAAGGATCATCAAACGGATCCCTTCCCCCAAAAAAGCTTGAGATTAAACTCCTGGGAGGTCCAAAGGAACCAAAGCCTCCAAAACCACCAAAAGGGTCACCGAAATCGAAGAAAGGATCCCTACCACCCCCGCGTCCTTGCATCTTGTCTCTCTAAGTGCAGTTTTCACTGGAAGTACAAGATGCAGACAAGGTAATTAAATATCAATAGACCGAATAGTACTAAAGGATTCAACACAAGTTTTTTAAGAATATAATCTTATCAATAATACTCCTATCCTCAGGAAGCCTAATGATTTTATATTTTTGTTAAATTCTTAATGCATACGTTCATACGTAAGCTGTTAGAGGAGGTAATATTAATCTTAATTTTTCTTTTACTACAAACCCTAGCGGCTTCATCATAATCCCCAGAGAGGCCTAAGAGAAGAAAAACAAAAGGCTTATTTACATACATCGAATTTCAAATACAGAATAAATCAGCTGAACAGCATCAAGAGGAGTCAAATTAAACACGAAGATAGGTGGACAAGAGACAAGTTATACCTATGATGAGCATAACATGAAAAGAGATCAACATAATTAAAATTCAAAGCCCTAGAATGAAAACGGGAGGATGAAAGATGCGAATACCTGAGAAGCAGCAGGAGTATAGAGGTAAAATAGTTCTCTGAGTATTTTATTTTAGGATGATCGATGCGCTTAGGCACGCTATCCAGCTCCCATCATGTCTTCACCGAACTCAGAAATTTATGTGGTGAGTATGTGTGAAATTTATATTAAAAATTATTTAAAAACTTGGACAACCATAATAAAATGGCCTTAAAATAAAAGAAAAGCATCGGAACCACTTAGGGAAGACAATAATTTTGTTAAATTCTAAGATAAGTTTGATGAAGGCATCTCTTTATTTTAAAAATAATGAATAAATTTGTCTAAACTTATTTTATTTAATACTTTATATTTAATATTAAATTTTAATTATTTAATAATTAAATTAAAAAAATTTAATATATAAATTAAGTTTATAAATTTTTTAAAAATTTAAAAATTATTTAACATTTTAATTCATTTTATACGTTGAATTGAATTAATGAAATGAAATATTAAATAATTTTAATTATTTTAAAAGTTTGTAAACTTAAATATAAGTTAATTAACAAAATAAATATAAATATTCATAAAGTAAATGAATCTTTTATTCATTAAAAATTTAAAAATAAAATAAATTTACATTTAATTAAGGATAACAATGAATTGAAACAATTTGAAAATAATTCAAAACTCAATAATTAACTTGTTAAACTTTGGAATAAACACAATAAATAAATGAGTCAAACTTTAGTAGTGGAAAGTTTGACCCCTTTAGTTCATGAATAAGTTTGACTTATAAATATATAATTAACTGTCTATTTAATTTTAACTCATTAAATTAAAAAAAAAACTTTAAAATTTACAATTATAACTTATAAGTTAATAATAATAAATTTAACACTTTAAAATTTCATGGTCATGAATTGAGTTTTTTTATTATTTTATGTAAGGTGAATTAGTTTTAATTTGTACATACTTTAGTTGCAATTATATTTCTTTATAATCATACTTTATAATGTTACAAAATTAATAAAATAAGTTATGTTTTGTCTGATTTTAAAAAAATTATTTATCTAAAATTTATCATTAAATTAAAAATTTTAAATATATAAATAAAAAAATGAAATTGAGTTTTAGTTCATATGATTTGAACTAACAAGTTGAATCAAACTTAAATCGAATTTAGTTTGAACCAAATTTTTTTTTTATATATCAAATTAAATTAAATGTTTATTAAGTCAAGTTGAGATGAATACAGCTCAACTTATTTATAACTATATACTTGATGAGAGTTGAACTCAATATCATTTGAGTATTTGATATGTTATACTAACAAGTAATAGGTAACAAACAACTTTGACGGATATGTTTAACAAAAAAAAAAAAATTATACCATAGTTTTAAAACCCCAACTACTAATAAACAATTTTGACATATGTTTAACAAAAAAAAAGTTTTATACCATAATTTTAAAATTTGGTCTAGTGATCGAACAGGTTAATGTATCGGTTAAATTTTGTTTCTAATTAATTTTAAAAAAAAATAATATCATATATCTTTTATACATACAATATCAATTAAACACATCATGTCTTAAAGTAAATAAGAAAATTTTGTAATCAATACAATACTAATAGAGTAATTAAATTATAGATGAGTTGAACTGCATATTAATATATAATTTAAAATTTAAAACATTATATAAGTTATTTAAGAGCATGTTAGTTTAGTGGTTAAAGGTTAAATAATCATCATCGATATATCAATATAATTAAATATAGTAAAATAAAGATACTTTGTATTTATATATTTTTTATTTAAGTTAAATCCTGAGATAATTATAATTTTGTGCATAAAAGAAATACTATTTTTATTTTGGCTTCCTTAGTTCCATTAAGGTGATAAATCGTGTTGTTCATAATGAGTGTTGATAAACGATTTGAAGAGTTGTGGAGTAATTCAGTATTAATTAATTAATTACTATATTCATATAATTCATAAAATTTATTAATTTGTCCTGTATTATAAAAGAAAATATAAGATATAATGTGATAAAAAAAAGTAAAAAAAGCATAATCAAATGTGTTGTCAAAAATATTTTCAGATTTATCTATCATTATAGATTATAGATATAATTATATATATATAATTATATATATATAATTATATCTATAATCTATAATGATAGATAAATCTGAAAATATTTTTGACAACACATTTGATTATGCTTTTTTTACTTTTTTTTATCACATTATATCTTATATTTTCTTTTATAATACAGGACAAATTAATAAATTTTATGAATTATATGAATATAGTAATTAATTAATTAATACTGAATTACTCCACAACTCTTCAAATCGTTTATCAACACTCATTATGAACAACACGATTTATCACCTTAATGGAACTAAGGAAGCCAAAATAAAAATAGTATTTCTTTTATGCACAAAATTATAATTATCTCAGGATTTAACTTAAATAAAAAATATATAAATACAAAGTATCTTTATTTTACTATATTTAATTATATTGATATATCGATGATGATTATTTAACCTTTAACCACTAAACTAACATGCTCTTAAATAACTTATATAATGTTTTAAATTTTAAATTATATATTAATATGCAGTTCAACTCATCTATAATTTAATTACTCTATTAGTATTGTATTGATTACAAAATTTTCTTATTTACTTTAAGACATGATGTGTTTAATTGATATTGTATGTATAAAAGATATATGATATTATTTTTTTTTAAAATTAATTAGAAACAAAATTTAACCGATACATTAACCTGTTCGATCACTAGACCAAATTTTAAAATTATGGTATAATTTAATATTTCATTTTATTAATTTAAATTTAAATAAGTATAAAATTATTTTATATATAAATAATTTTTAATTTTTAAAAAATTTGTAGACTTGATCTATATATTAAAAATTTATAATTTAATAATTAGATCGTTAAAATTAAATATAAAACATGAATTATTAAGTAAAATAAATTTAAATAAATTTAACTTTTACAATAAGTCCATATATATATATATATAATTACTACTAGATTTTTTGTACACCTAATTACTAGATATTTTAGTTTTTAACCATGAATTTTTTAGTTAATTTTATTTAACTCTATTTTTATTTTTTACTAATTATATTTTAATTTTAATTTTAGATCAATTTAAATATTCTAATATAATTTTAAAAAATAATCTTAAAATAAATTCACTCACTAAGTTCAAATAGTCTTAAATTGAAAATACTCATATTTAAAGTTAAAATAAACTTATATTACAATATTTTTTTATTTAAAATAAATAATTTTACTATAATTTAAATTTAAAAATTTATTTATTTTGCTATTATTTCTTATATTTTAAATATAAAGATAAAATTGCCCCAGCGTAGCGGGGATGGAAATGGAATTTGGCTAAAAAGCCCATGGGGTGGAAATGGAATCCTAGTAGTAGGCAACAAGTGAAAATGCGGTGAACAAAAGACAAACCTGAGTGTAGCGGGAAGCGACAATGTTTAACTAAGGACTAAGGAGGAGCAGGAACTTAATCACCCCTTCCTCTTCCTTGCTCCGACCACAGACAGTGGTGTTAGCTGCGTTTTGCTTTTGTGTGAAACGACAGCATAACTATGCGCATTATCACTACCACCACCACCACCACCACCAACTTTCTCAAATCACTCCACAACCTCCACTTTCTCAGACTCTCCTCTTCTCTTTCCTTTCTGCTCAACGGTAAGCGAAGCACCTCTTCCAATTCCATTCACGCCTTTCTATTATAATAACAAAATTAAAAATCAATCACCATCTATTTTTTTTCCCCCAGACAAGCCCCACATTGAAACACCGCACGGCGCCACATATTCACCGGATAATGAGCACATCGGAAACTCAACGTTGGCGACGGACCTCGCTTCTTTACTCGAGGAACCTCAATCCAAACCCAAACCCAAGAGCCGTATGGAGCTGAAGCGCTTTCTCGAGCTCCGAATAAAAAAACGGGTCAAGGAGCAACACGCCAATGGCAAGTTTCATAACCTAATGAAAACCGTGATTTCCAATGCAGAAACCCTTCGCGATGCTTACCACTGCATCAGGATCAACTCCAACGCACTCGACGCCGCTCCGAACCACGACGCTTCCTTTTTGGATGACCTAGCAGAAGAGCTCGGCAAAGGGGATTTCGACGTGTGCGTGAATACGTCGTCGTTTTCGACGAGGAAAGGTTCCGCGAACAAGGAGATATTGGTGCTTCCTAATTTGAAGCTAAAGGTTGTTCAGGAGGCTATGAGAATAGCGTTGGAGGTTGTTTACAAGCCGCATTTCTCGAAGATTTCGCACGGCTGCCGGAGTGGGAGGGGCCGCGCCGCCGCGTTGAAGTATATATGCAAGGGTGTTTTGAGTCCTGATTGGTGGTTCTCGGTGCTTGCGCATAAGAAATTGGATGCTGTTGTGTTGGAAAAGCTGATTTCCATAATGGAGGATAAGATAGAAGATCCTTGGTTATATGGTTTCATTCGGAGCATGTTTGATGCTCGAGTGTTAAATCTTGAGTTTGGTGGTTTCCCCAAGGGACATGGTCTCCCCCAAGAAGGGGTCTTGTCTCCCATTCTGATGAATATTTACCTTGACCTCTTTGACAGTGAATTTTGCAGGCTGTCGATGAAATATGAAGGTATATGTGACGATGGAGGGTTAAGTGATCCAGATAGGTCTGGTTCCATGTTGCGTGGTTGGTTCAGGAGACAATTGGATGGTGTTGATGCTAGGAAGAGTTCTGGTGTGAAAGTTTACTCTTGTCGATATATGGACGAGATGTTTTTCGCAGTTTCTGGTTCCAGGGATGCTGCTGTTAATTTTATGTCTGAGGTCCAGAGTTATTTGAAGAGTTCTTTGCTGTTGGATGTGGGTGATGAAACGGATATATTGCCCTGTGAGGGGCCTCATAGTATCCGGTTTTTGGGAACTTTGGTGAGAAGAACTGCCAGGGAGAGTCCTGCTGTAAAAGCTGTTCACAAGTTGAAAGAAAAAGTGGAGCTATTTACTATGCAAAAGGTGGAGGCTTGGGAATATGGGACGGTAAGAATAGGGAAGAAATGGTTGGGTCATGGTTTGAAGAAAGTTAAGGAATCAGAAATCAGGCATTTAGCTGATAGTAGCTCCCTCCTGAATAGGGTCTCGTGTTTCCGCAAGTCTGGAATGAAGACTGATCATTGGTATAAGCACTTGTTGAAGATATGGATGCAAGATGTTCAAGCAAAAACTGCCCAGAGTAAAGAAAATATTTTATCGAAGTGCATTGCAGAGCCAGCTCTTCCACAAGAGCTAAAAGATTCCTTTTATGAATTTATAAAGCAGGCAGAGCAGTATATATCTGCTGAGGCAGATTCTATTCTCAAGCTTTTGCCAAATAATAACAGCTCAACAGAACATCCAATTGCGAAAACTGAGATTATTGCTCCTATCCATGTCATAAAAATGCGTCTCCTGAGATATGGATTGACTACAACTAAGGGATTCCCCCGATCTGCTAATTTGCTCATCATGCTAGATACAACTGAAATTATTGACTGGTTTTCAGGGATTTCTTGCCGCTGGCTGAAATGGTATGAAAATTGTTCTAACTTTGATGAGATAAAGCTCTTGATTTCAGATGATGTTAGGAAATCATGCATTCGTACTTTAGCAGCAAAGTATCGGGTACATGAAACTGAGATAGAAAAGCGGTTTGATGTAGAACTAAGCAGGATTCCATCAATAGAGGACGCAGACAATGGGATGATAAATGAAGCATCGGATGTTCAAGCTTTTGAAAATGATGAGGCATTAACGTATGGAATTGCTTATAGTGGTCTGTGTTTGTTGTCTTTAGCAAGAATTGTTACCAAAGCAAGACCATGTAATTGTTTTGTAATAGGGTGCTCATCTTCCGCACCGAGAGTCTATACTCTTCATGTTATGGAAAGACAGAAATCTCCTAGCTGGAAGACTGGATTTTCAACTTGCATTCACCCAAGCTTAAATAAACGGCGAGTTGGGTTGTGTAAGCAGCATTTGAGGGATTTGTATCTTGGTCATATATCACTTCAGTCCATTGATTTTGGTGCATGGAAGTGATGTGGTGCAGGGAAACAATTATTCTTAGAATTTGCTTTTAGGGTTTAACTCAACTGAGACTGACCACCTTCCTTGAGGCTGCAATTAAGGCAGTCCCCAAAGAAGCAACAACAAAGGTGGGCTAGGAGTGACCATAATTAAGGTGGTTTTCCAACACTCCCTCACACCCAAAGCTACCGGCTTGGAGCATGGCAAATGTAGGTGTCCAACAATAGATCTGGAATAAGTTTTATGTGTTTTGATATTTGGTATGTTTCTCTATGTTTTAACTGCTTCTGGAGTTATGTTTTTAGTTATTGATTATGAATTTGTCCTTTTATGTCTTTGTTTGTTGTATATGTTATGTTTTATTATTGATCATGAATCTTAAGATTCACGACACAGTTTGATTTGTGATTTCGAAAATAGACCTTTTGATTCATGATTTGAATCCTGATTCAACTATCATGGTTGTGGCTATGGGCTGCTCCTTGGAAGCCCGGTGCGTTGCAGCGCACTGTCAGGCCTTTAGTGCTGTGGACCCTTGATACTATCACAACCACTATTGCATCAAAGGTGATAACCCCTATTTTGGCCACCCGAACAATATCGGTTGTTGCTTTTGGAGTGGGGGCGGTGGGTAAAAGTTAGAATTTCTTCCCCTTTTCATCAGGACACGAACCCTATTTTCCAGTTCCCTTTCTTTCAAAGGCTAACTATTGCACTACTCTTATTGGCCGTTCTCTCTTTAAAGCAAACTATCTGACCCAGAGCTTTCAGCTGCATTTCTGGCTAACCCACATTCTGGGGGACTCATGCACACTGTTCTGTTCACATCTTTTGGGGTTTGATGAAGGGTTTATGTTTTATTTCAAATGTGTGTGTGTGCATATTTTAATGTCTTTGTTTTGTTTTCTCTTTCTTTCAGTGTTGTGTTCAAATAGGTAAGCCTTGTGTTACCCTTCTTGCTGTACCTTCTTTTCCTTTTATTTTATTTGACCCTTATTGTTATTAACTTATATTTGGCTAAAATGATAACTTTTAAATATTAATTATGAACACGCTTTTAATTATGGGTAGTTTTCTAATTTTTGATGATTTATATATCTAATCATGGGTAGTTAGTTGTGGTCATCCTACTATTTGCTATCCTGTTATAGTAGTTTTGAACCACTATCCTGGACTGATAACTATTTATCTGATATCTACTTGTACAGTTCCATATCCATGTATTTCAGCATTCCTGAAGGTTTTGGGTTGTGATTTGTAGATGAACTTGCTGGCTTTGAAGAAGAATGGAAAGGAAAGGGTAAAAATTATTTGCCTGGATGGACTGGAAGTATTGGTGAATAATTATCCTTTCTGCTACTTGGGGATGTGGGTGATTAATATCTATTCTCTAGAAAATATCTCTACAATTTATTTGAGAATATCGATAGTTTTATGTGTACATATCTGTACCAAAAGTTATATTTACTGCATTATAAGTGCTAGTTTACTTGAATGATTAAAATTCAAGAAAATAAATCATAAAACAATTTAGTAAAGAACTAGGTTATCAATAGTCTGCTATACAGCGGAGATGCCAGTGGCTGCTGTTTGAACACTGCAACATCACGGTTTAGTGTCAGCTATGACAGCCTGCTGCGTGCAATTTGGCTAGGTCTTCCTGATATCCTTAAAATGCCCTTAAATCTTTGGCTTTAAGTTTTAACAGGGTTGTTTTAGGTATTTGCATGAGTTTTCATAAAATGAAACTGTACAATTTTTGTTGTATATGAAATGAACTAGCAATGTCTTTATGGGATGCTCTGCCTCCTGAGTGTGTGTGGCCCAGGCTTCTCACCTGCATTTTCCAGCCGGCACCGCTGTGACTCAATCCGCGTTTCTTTGTTTTCCCCCTGTTGCTGTTTTCCTGCCTACTGTTCAGTAGGTTCAGAACCACTTTCTTGTCCCCTTTATTCTGTGTCTTATTGTTTTTAAATTCATATTCAATTGTTTCCCCTGTTCTTTTTGGTTTCTAGTGTTTTTGTTAAATTTTTCTGTGCTCTGATTTCTTTGGAAAAAAAAAAAACAGCTATTTAATTATTTATGTAATAAAAAAAAATTCAGAATAGCTGTCATCCTGCTTTCAGCTATCTCACTGTTGTTTTTGGGGTCAATCCCACTATTGCCACTATCAAGATTGATAACTATAATACAAAAATGCTGGATATCCCAAGTTTTTTTATTTGACGGAAATCAGTGCAAATTAAGTAGATCCGTATGTATGTGCTTTTTAGTGTACATAGTTGTGAATTTGCAATCGTAGTATTGCACAGAAAAATAAAACAATCATGATTATGATGATATTCTTAGCTTGTGTTCTTTATTGGTGAGAAGTAAAAGGTTACAATGCCAGAGATGCACATTGCATTCAGTGGCATGGAGAGGATGGCTTCATTGTTGATTATCAGTATGGTTAATTGTATTTTAAATGCTATAGTATGATTGATGAACAATGTGCATCTGTTGTTAGTATGCTTCTTAATGTTGACATATTCTCGTTTATCTATTATATTTGTAAATTTACTGTCTCGTAGCCATCATCTTTTCTACATAAATTAGAAAAGATGCAAACCAAATATCAAATTTCATTGGGAGCATCATTCAAATAGTACTATGACAATGTAATAATCACTGGTTGTAATATGAAGTGATCTCTAAATACTTTGTATTATGGCTGTTGAGTGAATATTTTTTCCTTCAAAGCAGCAACGGTCCATATGTTTTTGTCATCTAATCTTTAATTTGTGCTCTTTGTTATTTTAGAAGCTAGCCATAATAATGGACAAGCTGAGCAGTCAAGGCATGGAGTTCTGGCGCTTCCTTCTTTCAGTCTTTGGAGCATAGTCATCCTGCGGGAACAATATCTGAAGCTAGAGATGATGTTGGCTCGTCTCGCACACAAGTGACTACACAAGAAAGGACAGAATGCAAAATGTTTGTATACGAAAAAATATTAGTGTAACACCAAGTGAGGAAAAAATGACAAGAAATTGGTTAAGGTGATGCAGTGCTGTTAAATAGCCACTATAACGGCACTATAATGCTATTTCATTGCAGAATTCCTTGGATCCGCAATCAAGATTCTGTCCGCTAATGTGGCTGCTATTCCGTCATGTTTGAATTTTTCACTTACAATAAGTATAGTGATATTAAAAAATATAGAGATTTTAATGGATTATTTTGATAGATGGATTTTGTGAAATTTTTTAGTAAAATTGACATAATTTACTCACCTAACAATTTTATAAAAATTCTTGAAATTTCGTGTGACTTTTTTTTATCGTTTATTTTTCTTCTTTTTTTCTCTTTTGCCCTCTTTTGCTTCTTTCTAAGTTTTCCTCTCTCACTCTCTTTCTCTCTTTCATCTTCTCTTTTTATTCTCTTTCTCCTCTCTCTTCTCCTTATCTCATCTATCAATATATTTTGTTACAATTTTATTTATCGATATTAATATATAATGTATCAATATTTGTTTTAATTATTTTAAAATTATTAAAATTTAACAAATGTTTATTTTTAATAAAATTTAATATTGAAATATTAAATTTGTAAACATATGTTAAAAATATATTATGATAATTCTACTGGTTAATAAATATTATAAATTTGAACATATTATTCAAATTAAATAGTATGATTGTGAAAATATAAATGTATAGAAGGTTATATGTCGATAAATATTACTTAAGTGAGCATCAAATCATAATCAATTATTTGTTAAAATATTAAAAAATTTATTGATTTTATTTTCTTTATTCAAACTTTGTCATTTACATTATTCTTTTTATTAATTGTAATTTTTTTTAAAAATCCATATTACCCTTTAAAATCTTTTCAAATTATATAAATTTAAGATACAAATTTATTAAAATTTATATTACAAAATCTTGATTAAAAAGCCTTTTAAAAAAACTTAAAAATACTTAAATTTCAATAAAATCTTTTAAAATTTACAACATTCTTTTATGTTAAAAAAATCTTGTAAAATCTTGATCCAATATATCCCTTCTTTTGAACATTAAAGGCAGCTAGTATCTATGTTTTTATTAGTTTATGGATTTTATTTTATCAAGAGGAGTTAAAGTATGATGGATAATTTGATATTTCTCTAAAGTACATGCATGAGATCCATTATCGATATAAGAATTACGATAGATATATAGACATACGAGTATGTATGTTTGTCGGGTTAGAACAACTTGTGTTATTATAATGTCAGATTAAATAATTATAGAAAAAGATAATGTAAGATTAAATATGACTTGTGATGGGTGAAAATTAAAGTTGTTAATTTGGGTTCAACCAATTTGCAAATAAAGTTAGATTGAATCTTTTAAAAAATAAATAACTTAAATAAGAACAAGACTATTTTAATTTAACTCGCTAAGTTTAACAGGTCAAATGAGTCCAGGTCAGGCTTATCTATAGTCTTATGGGTTGACTTGATAAATTAATAAGTGAAATAATTTGAATTATTGTTAATTTATAAATTTATAATGTATTATAAAATAATAAAATATAATATAATAATAGTAATAGTTTTTCATTCTTTTGTGTTTGCTAATAAAGTTGTGATTATAAACTTAGAGTTAGAATTAGTCGTTATAAGAATTTTACTACTCTCATTGTGTCCTTATAAATTGAGTTCATGGTTAGTCATTTTTGTTTCGTTTGTTGAAAAAGGCAGAGACAGGATTATGTTTGTGCATCTACTTATGAAGTTACGATAAAAGTAAGAGTACGGTACTAATAACAAAGACCAAGATATTGAAAATACTAAGAAAATTAAGTCTAATACCTTTGAAGTATGAAATTATGATAAAAATATTGGTTTGATTGATGAGATAAATAAATACAAATGCAATGATTATGAAAAATTGTGTACATGTAAAATTATAAGGTGTTTCATGACAAAATATAATATCAATTAATTATGTTATAATTTTTTCTTCGTTATAAAATATATTTATTTCTTTTTAAAATATATTCCTTAATTAAATCAATTAGGCTTGATCCAATATAAATCAAATTGAGTAAAATAATTATAATTCAATTTTTTTTATCAAACTAACTTAATCTAAAATAATAATTAATTTGTATAAGTCAGATTAAGTGAGCCAATCCAATCCAACCTATTTTACACCTTCCATGAAAATTAAGATTAGAATAAAATTCTTTCTTCAACCATACAGTACATTATTGTGTCCATCGACAAATTCAATTACACCATTAGACTGAGTGTATGAGAAAAATTATAGTTATTGACATATTACATTTCATAAAAATGTATTGTAATTTTTTAATATTTTAAATCTCATTACAGACCTGATTAATTAATGTACTCTATTTAATAAGTTACTGATTTAACCAATTTTTGAACGTACAGGCTTTTCCAACCTTTTAAACAAAGAAAGAAAACAAAAATGTCCACGCAAAGGGAAAAAATAGTTTGTTGAAAATTGAACAGATTTGATAGGCAATTTTACTTAAAAAAAAGGAAAAAAAATTAACAAATTGGATAAAATGAAAAGTAATCGAATGCGACGATAACAAGGGAGAGGAGGCGCATTGTAGCGGAATGAGTTGGCGTTAGGGTGTGGGACCCACGGGCGATTCAGCAACATGCGGTTCCGGCTCAGGACCTCGTCCTCAATCGGTCCACTCCGCTTCTGCGAAATTTCTTCGTCTCTGACTCTCTCCTTTTCGAATTGCAGCTCCTTCAACCTTTGCACCATTCAACACGTTATGCTCCCTTCAACTCTCGCTGATGCTCGCTTCCTCATAAATTAACTCCCCCGTTCTTCTACTTTTCCCCCTCACCATTCCATTCATTGAAATCCAAGAAACCGCTTCCGTTTCTCTCTCTTTCTTTCCTCACTCCCTGATCACGCTTCCGATTCGCCGGCGATCTCCTTCTGCTCGCGATCACTTGTCTCCGATTGAGGTTTAGGGTTCAGAGACCCATCCACCATGTCCTTGTCGGATTCCGATTCCTCCTCCTCTTATGGCGCCGAATACAAAAGCCTCAAACAAGTTAGCCGCGAGCGTGAGTCTCTCTCCCTTTTTATAATTGATTTGATTCCTGATTCGTTCCTCGCATGAAGTTCTCAACTCACTTCAAGTATCTTTAATCTAGTAAACTTTTATTCCGTTTAATTCTCTTTTTCGCTGTTAGAGGATACTCAATAGTGTTTGCTTATTGACCGTTTCGTCATGCTTGGTTCTGATCTCGGTGAATAGTTGAATTCAAATAGAAATTGTGTTTGGTGTGTGCTTTATTGTTTGAAAGTGTTATCGGCTAAATGTCAAAGCTCGTGGAGGTAAGTCTGCAGCTGGTGCGTCAAGATGTGAAGCTTGACGGCAGTGGCACCTGCTGAACGACAGATTCAGTTGCTTTAAGGGCAACTCTGCGAACATTGACTTAATGGGATTTGGAATCTTTTAGTCCAGGAGCTAAGGAAGCTGCTAAATTGACTTTCAGCCATTAATATCTAGTTTCTGCATTTTTCTTGTTTGGGATGAAAATTGCTGATTTTCTTTTCACTGATGAACTTACCCCAAGCTGTAAAAAAATACGAGGTTAATGCTAGTCTGTTTGATATGATGTTCTGCCTTGCTAAATGGAGAAGCTTATTACTTATTGTCAAAGGATGTTGTGGCTGATGTTTTAAGAATTAGACTACTGTATGTGAGACTAGTATGCTTGCATTCTTTGTTATAATATTCATAGATCCCTGGAAATATGGCTGGCAGAAATGATCTTTAAGATTTGTGATGTTAAAAATAGGAACCATTTGCAGCTTCTGTTATTTGGGGAAATCTATAATCTCTTTTGAAGGTCCATTTTCTCCAAAACCTTATTGGCTGCACTGATCTGAATTGCTTTGCTTGACCCTCTTTGCAACTATTCCTTAGTGGATGTTAAAATTTGGACTTTAGACTTCTCTGGGGTGTGCCCTTGGAGGCACAAACACTATTCTGGTTCTTAACTCTTTGAATATTTTATTATTGCTAATCTCCTTTTGGAAGTCTAAGCTCACCTTTTTATGCGAAGTCTTTCTTTATTGGTTGTTGATGAACAAACAGATCTCTCTCACCAAATGTTGGTGTTATATGTTTGTCTTCAATTTGATACTTGTAGCCATTTATCTTTTGGCTGTCTAGCTGCCAGATATTTGTGGTGTAGGATGTTTGGTAATTTTTGCTCAAAGTTGGATCTGTTGATTGAGTTTGGAGCACTTTAATTTTTGTTATTACTTGGTGCTTATAGTTAGAGAGGAATGACGAGTTTTGGGATAATTTCTTGCTATTAACCATTTTATCTTTATGGGATGAAGAGCTTGTCTGAATCTCTGTTACACCACCACAACATTTTTTTTGCTTTGGTAAAAACTGTTTTGGAGTGTTTTAATGGCAAAACTCCATTTCAAATGGTATAAAATCAGGCTAGAAGTTATGTCTTCCTAGTTCCTAATGTTCTTATGCTTTGCAGCTTAATTATTTTAGAGGGCTCTTTTTAGAAGACATGTATGGAGACTGGCATAATTTGGTTAATTTATGTGTCTTTCTTGTTTGTAGGCTTTTTGTGTTTTTCCTTTCTTTAGTTGGTTATCTTTTTCTTTGTTATTATACATCATTTTTCTTCTCTAACTGTATATCACACTTATGTCTCCTGGAAAGAAAACAAGGAAAGTTTTAAGATGAATGATATCACTCCAAATAATTTGTTCAGTTCTTTAAAGAGTTGAGAGACCAGTCTTCTACTTTACATGCCCTATGAACTTTTTTGCTGTTAAAAAATAATATTGACGCCAAAATCAATATTAACACTGTTTTATCCTTCTTATAAGCAGAGAGACTAATTGAAAGTCTTAAACATATTTTGAATTGTTGAAGTGGGTAATTCCTTTGCAAGGATTGCATATTTTTGTATTTTCTTTTCTTTCTTTAAACAATTAAATAGTAAAATGCTTAAAAGTTAACCATGATCAATTGCTTTCTTATTTGATCACCTCTTTTAAAATTTTCTGCAGGATTATTACATGAAATGCTCAGGTCAGCGAAAACAGGGGATTCAAAATCTACATGGAAGGTATAAATACTATTAGTTAAATGAGTTATGCCTTTGTTTTTTAATTCACCATAAATTCAAATGGACCAGCCTTCTGCCTGTTTAGGCTTCAGTTTATAGT